CCCGCGAGCAGCCCGCGACCCCCGCCCCTCGGCCGCGGGGGGAGGGCCCCTGAGGTCCACCCCCGCCCCAGGTGCCCCGCGCACACACAGACCGGCGGGGCGCCTCGGCTGCCGGGAGGATGCGATCCTCCGCAGTTTGCCAAAGGGGCCATGCCCGCGGGGGGGTGAGAAAAACCAGAAGACAGAGCAGAGGGGAAAGGTGCTCCCTCCAGAGCCCGCTTGGGAGCCCGCTTGGGAGCCCGCTTGGGAGCCCGCTTGGGAGCCCGCTTGGGAGCCCGCAGGCGCCCCTTCGCTCTAGAGCTGCTCTGGCAGCAGATGGACCTGGGGGACTGGGGGACCCCCGCAGGAGGACTGGGAAGGGGAGGGGCTGAGAGCTGGGGGAGCTGGCAGGGGGAGGCTTTCCTAAATGGCTCCATCCTGTCTAGGTCAGAGGGGACCTGCCTACCCTCTTACCTGGGGAGGTTCTTACCTGAGGATGCTCTAGAGTTGTAGCCAACCCCTTAAAAGGGAGAGCAGGAAGGTCAGGAGCATTTTGCAGCTTGATTGCATTTGACCCCCCAACTTTCCTGCACATGTGCTATCCTTAGTTACCCTTGAGGAAACTGAGGCACTACACTCATTGGCTGAGGCTCACCAGCTAGCTAGCCAGCAAAGCACCCAGAAACCCCACCACTACCTGATGTAACCCCAAGGATCCTGACTTCCCAGATTCATAACCCTCCTTGTAGAGTCCCCTTGAGCTAACAGCTGGGCCATAGGACACTGCTTCTTCCCAGCTCTCTCAGGCTGACTGTGGGGGACGCCAGCCACCATGGTGAGAGGGTGCTCAAGCGGCAGGGCCCACAGTCCCCCATGCCAGGAGGGACTGAGGCCTCCTGCCAAGCCCCAGCACCAACTGTCTGGAATGTATGTGAAGCATTCTGCAAGAGGACCCTCCAGGTAAGTGCAGCCCTAGCTTGACTGCAACCTCGCCAGAGACCCCACGCCTGAGCCACCAGCTAAGCCACTTCCAACTATGAGATGATACATGTTTAATAGTGTTTTAGGCAAATAAGTCTTGGGGTGATTTCTCACACAGCAATAGATAGCTGATATACCAAAACTGTTCCTCAGTGAGATGCACCTGTATCAAGACAAGGTCAGCATCATGTTGGGAAGGCAATAATGGAAGCTTCCCATCTAATTCAGGAAGTTGGCTGGGTGCACCATTAGCCTCAAGATACACAAGCATCAAGTTCGAGGACATAATAAAGTCTTCCATAAATAATAGCAGCAACAGAAGACCTAGGGATGAGCTTAACAAGAAACATGCTAAAAACCTGAAATGTTCCTGAGAGACACAACAGAACACCGAAAATGGAGTGGAATACTATGTTCATGGATAAGGAGACTTAACATTACATAAAGATACTAATTCTTCCTAAACTTATCTATGAACTTAATACAATCCTCAAAAAAATACTAAGAAGAATTGGGGGATAGACAAGCTGATTTTAAAATTAATTGAGAAAAGCATCACACAAACAAGCAAGAATGGGCAGGAAAATTATTACAAGAAGAGTAACAGAAAACTGAAAAGAGATCACTCCCAAACTCATCTTACAAGCCCAGCATTACCCTGATCCCAAAGCCAGATAAGAATACCACAATAGGGGTGCCTGGGTGGCTCAGTTGTTAAGCGTCTGCCTTCGGCTCATATCATGATCTCAGGGTCTTGGGATTGAGTCCCATATCAGGCTCCCTGCTCCGCGGGAAGCCTGCTTCTCCCTCTCCCACTCCCCCTGCTTGTGTTCCTGCTC